TTATGTAGACTTGCCTAGCACTCTAGGTATGAGGCACATAATATACGAAACACAAATGAGTTTCATGTATGGACTTGGACAACATCCCCAGGATATCTTATTATGCATATATAAATATTGTACTCCAAAATCTGAAAAATGCCAAATCTGAAACACTTGTGGTGCTGAGCATTTGGGGTGAGCAACACTCAACTCATATATGCATTTTGCTTGACAAGATTTTTTTTAAGGAGAAGTCTTTTATTAAGATGTATTCCTGACTTGAGAAACAAATTTGTATGGAAAGTGTCATTTTAAAATTTATACATGTCTGAAAAATAGGCTACCACTTAGGTAAAAGAGAGAGAAAACTATGGTTCCATACTGATATTTGACTGTAAATAAACAAGTGAACTCCAGAAGGCGTCATAAGACACAATGGGGTGGCGGTGGGGCACAAGGGAGGCATGGATGTGAGGAGTCTTTTCACAGCATCCATTCTGTACTCTGGATTTTGAACAGTGCAAGTGTACTATCTATTTTTAAAAACACACACAAATTCAGAAAATAGAAAAAGCACTCACAGATGTTTACCAAGCCTTTCTCTGTATCGGGGAGGCAGGAGAGTCTGGGTCTGAATGCTCCCGTTTACCCACAAACATGAGTAGCTGCAAGGGGAGACCTCCCCAGGACTCCTCCTGCCTTGGGTAGAGGCTGGGAGACAAAGGCTCAGACCACTGCTGCCTGAAACCGAGTTGAAGAAGTGTTAAGGAAGTCCCCAAAGTAGCGAATAATTGATTTTTCTTTTTTAAAAACGAATTTGGATTTATTCCCATTATGTGGGCCATATGATAGTGTGTCCTTTAAATAGCAATAGCATTAATTAAACACACCCTGGGATTTCAAGGTGACGAGCCTTGGGGCCCTGAATATGTGCGTTGCAGGAAGGGGGCTGGGAAGCTTGACCAATTCTAATGGGCATTTCGGCGGTGCCGCCACCTGGCAGATTTTCAGAGCTGTTGCATCCCAGCGCTCAGGGGGGCATGCTTTTGCGGTGGATCTGCTGTTCTCTTTTCTCTCCTGTTGGGAGTTGGGATGCACGGGATTTCCTGACCGTGGCCCACCGTCTCTTTGCGGGGATCCAGGCAAGACGTGGAGGGTGAGAGAAGCAGCCGCCGCATCTGCGCTTCCCTCACTTCACCTGCTTCTCATCTTTTGTTGCCTTCTTTGTAGCACAACAGCTTTCTTCCTTCTGGACTTGACACCTTACACGGAGTGGGGCAGGATGAGCTCTGGCAGAGGCTGCGGACCTGCCCCTGCCCCTTGAGACCACAGAGAAGGGCATCACCTCTGCGCTCTCCCAGCAGCCCCACCCACAGCCGTTCTTGGTTCCCCATCCCCTTCCCCTCAGGCCTTTCTCCCAGACTCAGTCCAGAATGCAAACTTTTCCTTCTTTCTTTCTTTCTTTCTTTCTTTCTTTCTTTCTTTCTTTCTTTCTTTCTTTCTGTCTGTCTTTCTTTCTTTTTGAGATGGAGTTTTGCTAGGCAGTTCAAGGTGACTTGAACTCACTTTGTAACAGGCAGGCCTCAGAATCAAAGTGATCTTCCTGCCTCAGCCTTCTGAATGCTGAGATTATAAGCCTGCACCACCATGCCCAGCCTCTTATTAGCAACCAGTGAACAACCCCCGGTGCAGCAGCAGCACTGCACAGCGGTATCATAGTAAGTATGCAGTGCTAGAGACAAAGCCCTTCTGGGGAGATCCAGATGAATGAAGCTCTAAAAGAAGGATGATAACAGGCAGCGATGCTTTTCAGGGAGAAAGCGGCAGAGGCTGGTGCCCCCAGAATGAGGTCTACCGTATAGGTGGGCCTCAACAGCTGTCTGGTTTTGTTTGCTTGAGTTTGCTTTTCTGGTGCTGGGCATCAAACCCAGAGCCTCATGCATAGTAGACCTGTGCTTTACCACCGAGCTACAACCCCAGGCCCTGGATAGGCATGAACTAATTAATCCATTGCCTCTGGACATGCCCCAGGGGAATTCCCGGGACAGGCAGTGGGTGTCTCCTCTGCAGTTTCTCCCCTGCTGTCTGCTCAGGAGGCTGAGTTGTAGGGCCGCTCCCTCAATAGGTACCCTCCCCTCCGGCTTCCTGTGGAGGAATGAGGAATCCCTAAAAGGAGACTGGAAGGAGAGGGCTTCTCCCCAGGATGCTCTCCTTTCGGGGTCCTGTCCCCACTCTTTAGGTCTAGAATTCATCATGACTCCCATGGTCACCAGGCTAGGACACTGCATTAACCTCTGTGGTGCCCCTGCTCAGTCCACACCTTTGTAAATAGTCCTCTACTAAATGCCCCTGCAACTCATTATCCTGACCTGAGAGTCATCCATTTCCTGCTGGGAACCTGAACGGTACACGTCAAAAGGCTTGCATTCGCATTCTGCACTGCTGTTTACTGTGTATGTGACCTGAAGTGCATCGCTTAGCTGCTCTGTGACTCATGTCCTCTAACTGTAACATGAAAGGGTAAGTTATATTTTTCTAATTCAACAAGTACTTCCTGTGAATCTACTATATTCCAGGTATCACACTGCATGCTAGGAAATCCATGGGTGAACATAATAGGGCCAAGTCTATCATGCTCTTAGGTGGTCCGGGCTATAAATTTTAGGACTCAGTAATTCTAAAATCTCTGATTCCATGACAGCAAAAATACATTCAAGGAAGGAGATGCAAGGGGATTATTTTACCTCAGGTTAGAGGTGAGTGAGGGCAAAGAAAAGGCTGGGACAAGTGGTCACAGGGAAACTGTAAGTCCAGGGGCAAGGGGTAAGGGACAAGGCAGTCAGGGTAAGAACATTAAACCTACCGGGAAGAACGATTCAGGACCTGTCTTTGAAAGCATATGTAGGTGCATATGTTGCATATGTGTGAATGATGATCACTGTCATTGTCATGATCATCGTAACAGCCAAATGGAACACAGTGCTGAGAGAGAGAGAGGAACACATTACAGACACTAGAAAACTAGCAAAGTGAAGAGAAAAAACTAGAAAGCATACTTAATTGTGTTAAGTAATGATAATCATCGCACTCATTTTTAAAAGACCAAATACTACTCGTGGCTAGTTCCTAGGCAGCTCAGCAGCATACGCGTATCATGAACACGTGTCAGCTGATCTTATTATAAATTAGATTTTATATGCAGGTAACAGGGGCCATCCTCGCCATTCTGGCCGCCGGCTGGCTGTGGAGGCCTGGGACCCCTGGCTCCCGCCTCCCATAGGTGCCGCTGGGAGGTGCCACTGTCTGCAGGCGGCGGCTAGCTACAGCAGCAGGAGTCCAGTTTGACTTGCAGAAATTTTTACTTGGATTTGAATCCTAAGAGTTCTGAGTCTCAACAGCCCTGATGGTTCACATCTACACACGGCCTTTCTGCCCTTATTTCTGCCGGTCTCTGATGCTTTTCCCTCTGTGCTGGGACTTTCCTCCAATCCGCATACCATATGCCCAGGTAGACAGGCTGTGTTTTTAACGGGTGATGATGCTACACCTGCACCTCGCCTGTGGCTCCCTAAGCTCTTTCCCATACTCCTGTTCCAGTAACAGCCATGATGTGGACCACAAAGGGCCTTCTGCAGACCTGCATAAGCAGTCAGATAGATCTAACGGTTTGTCCACGCTCTGTGATCAGTGAGGAATGGAGCTGGCTTCTTGGATCAGGCCATAGATAGGTTCCATTCCCAGTGTCCACCCTACTTGCTGCCCCTGGGACACACACACATACACACACACACACACACACCACTCCAGTCACACTAAATTCCCAGGACCTCGAACACTGTTGTGTGTATGCGCGTGCGCAGAACCTCCTCTCTGTCCAGGCCCTGTCTCACCGGTCCCCTCTGTCTTCACCGTCCCCTCTGTCCCGCCACTGTTGTAAGCATAGGCTGTGATGTGATCTGTGTCAGAGTGTGTGCCCTGCTGGCAGTGGTGCTTTTAGGGATGTGGCATGAAGCAACAGATTGCAGATGGCCTAGTCACCTAGAGAGGAAGTCCCTTTCTCCGCTCTGGCAGGCCAGGGAGAAAGACTCTGTAAAGGCCGTGCACTCAGACCTTTTTAATACTGCTTACCTTCCTTTCCCCGTTTAAATCATAAGTAGGGCAGGGCTCAGTCAGAACTTTCACAGGCAACAGTTTCTAGCCATAATTTGTAACACTGTTTGATTTTTATTGTATTTTTTAAATTATGCACAGAAAGTGATTTTGATCTTCACGTATGGAAGTCTTACAAAGTATTCCTTTCAAATTACAAGATACCAAGTAGTGACTGGGTTTTCTATCACACAAAAGTGGTAGAAAACATAAAGATGACACTTACAGGACCAAAGTAGGAAAGTGTCAGGAGAATGGGTGTAAATCCCAGCCGTTTCTACAAGCTGTGTGACCTATATGTTCTCTGGGTTTAGTTCACTTATCTGGATAAAAGGAATACAGTAATAGTACCTATTTCACAGAATTAAATTTATGTAGTGCCTAGTGTATAGGAAATGCTCAGTGTGTGCTAGAAGCCACTTACCGGTCTAGTTCAAATGCTGCCTCTTCCTCATAGACTTCCTGAGTGAATCAGCTGAAGTTCTCGCTCCTCCCTCTTTCTCATGGTGTTTTTATTATATTGTGGAACTTCGCACATTTGGGCCTGTGTACAGCTTCAGGGTGTTGAACTTTTACTACACCTATATTTCACGCAGGGCCCAGCACATGCTAAATGATTGCTAAGTCTTCCATTATAAATGGACTTTATTTCTCTTCATGAGTTTGACTTATAAAGACTTGTTCCTATTTTTCTCGGAGTTTCAAAAAAAATCCTCTCAGATCTCAGCATGCTACAGAGCATTCAGGAAAAGATCAAAGACCCTGAAGCAAGAATACTTGTTTAATATCACTGAAATCAGCATTGCACTTGTCTAAAAACATGAGGTCCTGTCCAGAGAAAAAAGCCAAAAAGTGGAGGCTGTAGAGTCATGGTTATGAAGACAAGAGGCCTGGGAATGGAGCAGCAGCCCGGGAAGGGCCACAAGGCAGATGGTCAGCAGTGGAAGGTGTGAGTCGGGGACAAAATCAGATGCAGTGGACCGAAGCGAACATGATGTGAATATTTTGTGCAGGACTTTATCCAGTTAAAGCTGGGGACTACAGTAATATACAGTTCTGCGTGTAGCAGGGAGCAAGGCCTACCTCTGTGATCCTATGTCTAGGCAGGATTATCTTTGGTTAAATCAGGTATTTCCCTTTTTTTCAGAAGCTTCAACAGAGCCTCTTTGGAAATACCACCCACATCTTCAGCTGTGACTGGAGGAAGGCTCATTTCAAGTTTCGTGATCCTTTTTCAGACCTGGCTTCCACTTTGGAAGTAGAAAAGGTAAAGCCAGTGCGTGCTTTTTCAAAATTCCTAAGATCATCTTCCTTACCTGTGTTTCCTTCTCATTTACATCCATATGACTATACTATAGATTGTATATAGAAATACATGGATAATTTACAAATTAAACTATAGAAGACTAAAGTTATGGCGTATTGTCTGGATTATCACAAAGCTCCCAATTCCTTGCTCTCCCCATTCTCTTCCAAATTCTACTTTTCCTATACCTTCTCTCCAACCCCTATGCATCACCGAAGGCAAAAGAAAATCTAAAAACTTGTTTCTGGCTTGTTTGCAATATGAGTAAATCATACCGTCAGTCACTAGTCACACCTGAATTCCAAGGGCCAGCTGACTAGCTCCGTATCTCCCGCAAACTGAAAAGTCTGATGTGCAACTGGGGCATGGTAACGAAAGAATGGAGGGAGACATAAATCCCCACGCACTGCTCTGAAGGCTGCACAGAGAGGCTGTGGCTCCACATCGAGCCTGGCAGTAGCACCCAGCCACAGCCAGCAGCCCTGGGGATGGCAGGAGGAAAAGGCCTGCAGAAGAGAATAAGTAGTGATACCCATTTGCAAGAGGTTTCTTTGGCCATGTTGTTGGCAGTAGCTCCACTACAATTGTAGATCACAGCTCCCAGCCTTCACCCTCCGCTCCCTCGCCCTTCTCCATTTCAGGGAGGTGCCCAGAGCATTCAGATGGCTGTGCAAGGATTCATCATCAAACATTTGTTATTTACCAGAAAAGGAAAAGACTGTAACTTTCACAGGTAAGAGTACTTAGAAGACTAGCCTATTTCACAAGAAACTTTGTATGCTAAATAATCACAACTGAGAACTGCAGGTTGTGTCAGGAAGGAAATCTGTCTCTTTAGACAGAAAGGGCTGTTTTCCCCCAAGGGGCTGCCTGGTGTCACTGCTGAGCGCTCTCCAGGAGTCACTCTCAGTGTTCAGCTGCAGGAATAAGGTTGACAGTTTCACACAGACCGAAATGAAGCAGCAGATCTCAGGTGGGATCATTTGTCTATATCTGATCAGAGCTTTAATCTCACAATTGTAGGAGGGAGCAAAAGAGGTGAGAAGAAACCCCCAAATGAGGGGTCTGTCCTATTTAACCAGACCAAGGGACAATGTCTGATAGTCACCTCATTTTTAGAAATCAGATGAAACTTACTCAAATTTACCTTATTATTAGCCGTTAAAAATCCTCTATCATGAGCAGAGCCCTGTGCTAGATATTACAGGAAATATAAATCAGTAAAAGGTGTGTATCTGCCCTCAGGCAAGATAAGTTATCACCCAAAACAAGAACTAAATGTGCAATATATTCTAAGATCATGAATTGCCAGGTTTGGCAGAAGCAGTGGGAATTCTTTAAGCCAGTGATTTGTTAAGGAAGTGCCCTCAGGAGACACCTGTGGGACAGTGAGGGTTCAGTCACTTTTCCGTCCCTGGGACAATATATCCAACACCCACAACTTAAGAGAGGAAAAGTTATTTGGCTTACAGCTTCCAGTGGGTTCAGTCCAAAGTTGGCTGGCTCCAAGGCAGAAACAACATGGCAGGGGCTGGGGATTTAGCTCAGCGGCAAAGCGCCTGCCTGGCAAGCGCAAGGTCGTGAGTTCAGTTCCCGGTACCGGAGAAAAACCAAAAAAAAAAAAAAAAAAAAAAAGAAACAACATGGCAGAAGGGCTCAGCACAGCACGGCTGCTCTTCCCATGGCAGCCAGGAAGCAGAGAGAGAAGGGAGGAGCCTGGGACAAAAATGCACCCTCTGGGTCCCACATCCAGTGACTCACCTCCAACCAGCTCCACCTCCTGAGCATATTATTTATTGAACTCATTAATGGGTGAATCCACTGATGAGTGTGGTGCCCCGTGATCCAATCACCTTACAAACACATGAGACCAGGACCAAGGATATAGCTCAGTGGCATAAACACCTGCCTGGCAAGCGCAAGGTCCTAAGTTAGATTCCCGGCACCAAATAAGGGAGGCTGGAGGGACTCAGAGCCCTGAGCACAGAGTAACAGTTCAGATTCAGGCCCAGAAGGCCCGAGCTCAGGTCACTGCGCTCTCAGTTTAAAGATGAATGACCGAGGGTAAACTACTTCACCTCTCTGGGTCTTCCTCTTCTAGCCTTTAAAATAGAAGTAGTAATAGTATTACCTGGGGGGATTATTGTGCCAATTAAGTGAGGTGACACAGGGAAATACTTAGTAGTGGGTGTGGTGAGTGCTGGGTGGGTGTGATCTGACATAGACCTAGTGTGATGTGTAGGCTGTGGTTAGGTGAAATGGAGAGAGTGAATGCTAAGGGCACAAGCACGTGAGGAAGGCATGGATGGGGAGAAGGTTCTGGGATCCTCCTGGGAAGAGGGTTTAAAAGATGAATATCTGAGAGGTAAAACTGCAGGGATAATTTAGGGTTGAGCTTGAAAAGGACACTTTGTTTTGTTTTATGGTACCAGGGATCAAACTCAGGACCTTGTGCTTGCCAGGCAGGCACTGTACCATTGAGCTATGTCCCCAGCCCCAAAAAGGGCCTGTCAACGGGTAACAGCGCTCAAGCTGATCCCTGCTGGAGTGCATTTCAGAGGACAGCACTGCCACTAGCTGGGGAGAGATGGCACAGGATGGGACGGGCCAAGATCACTAAGACAAACTATTCCCTGCCATGAGGGCTTCGGTGGCAGTTAAGGCGAGGGGGACCAGGCCCTCCAATGACACTCTCACTGGCAGGTTGAAGGAACCAAATAGACACCAACTGTGTTCAGAGGCAAACATAAAATTGGAGGCCCCAACACCTAGCTGTTCATTTCACTGCTCCCCCGACCCCGCCTCCTGCATTGCAGTTTGTGTGAGCTGAGCAAGCCTGAGCAGGAGCAAGCCCTGGCAGTGGCACTAGCTGGCATCCTGTGGAATGCCGGAGCAGCTCAGAAGGCCACCATCTGTCTTGTCGCTGAGGACATTTACAGCGCCTCAACTCCTGATCACTCCAGGGATGATTTCACTGAACAGGTAAGTGGACTCCTACCCACCCTGCAGATGAAGAGCAAATGCAACCTGACTGTACACGTGGAAATGGAGGTAGCGCCCCACTGATGCTCTGGAAAGTACCTGCTGTGGCCAGAGACCTCTTCCCAACAGGCAAGTACCGAGGGCTGTGATGCGCACAGCCAAAGTGGACAGCCCCAGTGTGACTTTCTCCTTCCAGAAATCACCATGATCAAGGATATCCCACATCTGTCAACACACACTGCATTTCCATATCAACTGTCTTAAAGACAGCTAAACTCTGCCTATCAGGGAAAAAAATCTGTTTATGGTTTCATGGCTTAAGACATCACAGTGACTTAAAACTGAAGGCTATAAAAGTGATGCCAATAGCCACCCAATTTTACCATGTATGTTTTACATGGCCTTGTGTAAGATAATATGTCAGTTTTTATCAGTGTGAATTTGTAATGAAACAAAAAACTCCCTTGAGGTAATAACAGTGAGTTGACATCTCTTAGAAGTACCTTTCATCTTCCTTTTCATTTTTATCTCTATTCCTGATTTATAGCTCCAGCTGTTTGAATTTTCAGAGAGAGAAGCCACTGAGAAATTCATCTATGATCATTTACAATGTGTAAGTGTTTAAATGTTGAGATAATTCCTTTATGCTGAACTGCTCTTACAGGAATCTTCTTTCTTGTAGAAAGTGTATTTCTAATGATGCTTGTTAAGAAAACCAGGTCATTTTGAGGGCTAAGAAAGGGCAGAACAAGAGAAAAAGAAGCCTGCCTCTCCCTCCCAACAACCTAGAAAGAGGCCAGTCACACAGAGACCCACTTACAAATGCCTTTTTTTCGTTGGCTAATCAACCCCAGAGAATAATACTTTAGAGGGCACATAGCAGGATTTCTTTTGTGGGAAGTGAAAATCTTAAATCAGTCTTGCCTCATCTCATGGATAAAAAACAAAAATGGTAGAAAACGGAAGCCCTTGTCTAAGCTGCCAGAAAGACCATTCACACTGACTTCAGGTGAATGATTTCTGGCCTGAAAAGATTGGTCCCGTTTCACCTCTTCTAATAGCACTTTCCATACAGCGTCTACACCACACTGATTCTTTCCCACTCCAGGGTAGGGAGGGGACAAAGTAGCAGGCAGTAATGGTCATAAATGGAAGGTGCTTTTAAAAGACTCATCTGCAGGAAAAGAAATGAAAGCTGATTTTTTGAAGAATAGAAACCTACCTGTGAAAGTAAAGGATAATTAGCAGGATAATGATGAAGCCATACAACCTTAGAGTATATGGAAATGGGAAGTGTGATCAGTGGAACTCACTGCTTCATTGCTTTTAAGGGCTGTGGAGGCAGAACACTTGGGCATGAGTTCTCAGCCACATTCCAGCTGTGTGATCCTGGGGACACAAGTTTTTCTCAGGCTTACCTCCCCTACCTTCTCCTAGTCTGTTGTTAACTTGTGTGACAGGTAGAAGAATGGTACCCCCAAAGACGTCCACACCCTACCCAAGAACTATGAACATGCCACATGACATGGCAAAGGGGAATTAGGCTGCTAATCAGATGACTTTACAATAGGGGGATGAGCTGAATTATCCAGATGGGCCCAATATAATCAGAAGGATCCTACACTATGGAAGGGAAAGGCAGAGAAGGAAGTCAGGGGGATGTGCTGTGAGAAGTGTCTGCCATTGCTGGATTTGAAGATGCGAGAAGGGGGCGTAAACCATGGAAGGTGGGGAGGGCCCTTCTTCCTTGTGCAGAAAGAACAAGGAAACACATTCTTCCCTACGGTCTCTAGAAAGACTGCTGTCTGGCTGGCATCTCAGTTTTAGCTCCGCATGACCTGTTTGGGGCTTTTAACCTCTATAACGATAAGATAATGCCATGTATATTATTTAAGTTTTTTTAAATGTCTTTTTTCTGGGTTTTGTTTTTGGGCTAGAAATTGAACCCAGAACCTCAGGTCTCACACGTACTAAATACTTTTCATGATATATCGATCTATTACTGAGCTACACCTCCAATCCCTACTTAAGCAATTAGATTTACACTAATTTGTTTTAGCAACAATATGAAACTAATGAAACCTTTATAAAGGATTTTAAATGCTTTACATGAAATGTTAAGATAGAAACCTGCTCAAGGACTCTTTGTTGTGAGTACAGGACATTTAATGGAATTATGCATATATAAAGGATCCATTTAGGAAATGACCCTTTCAGCAAAAAAGAGATAAACCTTTCCCCATCTTCCATTTCCTCCATTGAAACCTGGCAGGGTCTGATTCAGCGGGAAGGACACCGACACCTGCAAGGTATTCTTAAGGGTAGCCGTAGCTGAGATGAGAGGATCAGAGCTGGAGCTACTCGGGCTTATCCAAAGATTGTGTACAGCTGGAATAAGTAATAATGTTCCTAAACAGAGGTGCGCTCTGCATTGCAGGTAGGCTGGCATAAGAGCCATCTGTATCAAGCCAACCCAAGGTGCCCACTACTTTTGCCTCCTCAGGGAAAGTTTAGCTCCATTTGCGGAGTAAGGAGTAACTTGGTGGTATACATATTCCTCTCAGGAGCATCACCCCTAGCTGGGGATGCATGTTGTGATCAGCAGCTTTCAGTCAAACCCCATTCACCATCAAAATGCATCTGTCCTGTGTCCCCATCCAATTCAGGCAGAGATCTCAAGCTAGAGGTCTGAGGGATACATGTGGGAAGCAGATCTAATGTCACCAGTTGAATTGTGTCCCCTCAAAAATGTATATTGAAGTCCTAACCTCCAGCACCTGGGAGTGTGACTTTCTTTGAAAATAGGGCCTTTACAGATGTAGGCAAGTTAAGGTAAAGTCACACTGATACCAATATCCAATAATTGGTATCTTTATAAAAGGAAAAACTTGGATAAAAATAGACAGAAAGAATACCATGGGAAAATCAAGGTAGACATTGAAGGGATGCATCTACAAGCCAAGGAATACCAAGGATTTCCTGCCATCAGAAGAAGCTAGGAAGATGCAGGAAGGGTCTTCCCTAGGGTCTGCAGAGAGAGCATACCCCACTCTGAAACCTTAATTCCAGACTTCTAGCCTCCACCACTTAAAAGAATAAATTCCAATTGTTTTAAATCATTCAGATTTCTTGCAATTGTTATCACAATTGCAAGACACTAATACACTAAACTGCTATATATGATTTATAGCATTAGTTTACACAGCACTGTGTTTATTAATATTTGAATCAGTGAATGTCAGGAACAATAAGAAAATTCCACATAAAATACTGGATGGGACTTTTTCCATCTGGCCGCCTTGGGCCCATATTCGTACATGTCCTCAATCAGCTGACAGGTAGAAGGCAGCTACACCCATTAGATAAATTTTGTAGCCTAAGTGATTCCCATCCTAATCATACCCAGAAACCTGTGGGTATGATTCCTACCTGGGAAGAGGGATTTTGTAGGTGGTATCTTGAAATGGAGAAATTACTCTGGATTTAAAGGTGGACCTGATTAATCATAGAGATCCTTATAAGGGAGGGAAGGTGGCAAGAAAACTAGAGAAGGAGATGTGATGAGAAAGGCAGAGGGAGAAAAGGTTAGGCTATGGGGAGCTACGAGCCAAGGGATAAGGATGGGTCTAGAAGCTGGAGAAGGCCCAGAAACTAATATTCCATAGAGCCTCCTTGTCTTAGTTACTTTTCCTTGTTGCTTAGACAAAACATGCAACACTCAAAGTTAGAGGGGGAAAAGTTTATTTTGGCTCACAATTTGTAGAGATGTCAGTCCATAACTGGCTTGCTCTGAGGCAGGCTGACATGGTGGAGGGGAATTGCAGAGGATAAATTGTTCATGGTGAGCAGAAGGCAGGAAGGCAGCAAATCAGTGAGGAAGCAGCAAGCAATGGCAATAGAAGCCCACTTCCTGTCCCTTATACTCTATCCAGGCTACCCGCACTTAGTGTTGAAGTTGAAGACTAAGAGAATGATTGGTAAGCATGAAGCAAGGAAGAAGGGTGCCCTGGAGAGTGGAAAAAAATGATCTAGGGAGGCAGAGAGACACCCATCCTCTCAGTAGCTGGGTGGGGTGAGGACTTCTCCCAGGCTGTGAACCTTGGAATTCATACCCAACAATATCCACGCATGCATTGCTCTTAAACAAAAGTGCTTTTTTTTGTTTCCTTAACAGTTTAAAGAGGAAGGAAGCCGTGGTGTCATCCTATTTCTTTACAGCCTAATCTTCTCCAGAACATTTGAGAGGTAAAATCTACAAACGTTTGTTTAGGTATTTCCTACAGGACTGTGATCGCATAAATGATGCACTCTTGGGCTGAAAAACATTCTCATCTGTCAGGTTGTTTGTTTGTTTGTTTGTTTGTTTGTTTTGAAGATGTTTATCTGTTGACATGTCTTGTTCTGTAGGTGGTTTAGCCATATAGATGGGCAAGTGGATATCCATAGTCAAATAAATAAATTTTATTATTTAGACCCACAATAAAATATATCCTCAAATATTTATTGCGTTGCTATTATGTGGAAAGTCCTGTTCTTGGCACTCTAGGAAATACAAATAAGAGAAGCTGTGGCTCTAATTACCCCTCTCAAACTTTCCAGTTTGGGAAAGACAAAATATACATTTAGAAAGACTGGGCAAGTCCCAGGTGGCCTGACCTGCCAAAGAGGAGTAAAGACAGTGAGTCTCAGAGGATTCCAAAGGACAAGGGGTCTCCGCAGACAGGGTCTTCAGAATGGACTTTCTTCTGGGCCCTGAAAGAAAGGCAACCCTATGAGAGTCAGAGTGGAGGCAGAAGGCTGCCAGGAAGAGGAGTGACAGGCCCGAAAGCAGTGCTCCTGGTACTTGTCTTTTACGTATAACTCTCATATTTTTACGGTCTGTGTTATTTGCTCAACAATTTTCTTTAAATCAACACACATTTAAGTATCAACCTGTTCCTGAACATTAATATTCTGTACATTAATCTCTTCCTAAACATTAATAAATAAAAGATCAAATGCACTTAAAATAAAAATGTCACCATTAAAATTCATAAATGATCGTGTCTATGCCATCTAAAGCATGCCATACTTTGGGAAACACAGCCCTGAGTCGCACCACCAAGGCATGTACCAATCTTGATCTAAGTTCTTAGTGTTATTCACAGAACATGACCCCCAGTCCTATGAATAGATTCAGTCAAAAACCTATACAGGAGATGGCAAGGCAGTCAGGGGGTGAGAAGAGCTGGGAGGCTGGGGAGAGGAGAAGTAAACATGATTAAGGTGTGATGTGAATACGTGCCAGTTCTCCAAGATGAATGTAATTATTATGACTCAAACATATACTGATAAAAAGAGCATATACAGCTTCCATATCCATACCCAGCGCCTCCTCTGGGTGTAATGAAAGCCACATTCCACCTGGATCTTGTACACTCAAGGATAGGACTTCGGCACCCGCTCTTCCACAGCCAAGAAATGGGCTCAACAGACACTCTGGTGTTTTCCCAGGGAACAGTCGTTCACCTCTGCCCTGGGCCAGCATTCTTATCCATTCTTATCTGTTACCACCCTGAGCACAGGGTCCCTGCCTCGCACAGCCAACAGCTTCCCTAGTGAGCTTACCACTCCCCTAAGCCCATGCAGGGATTCTAGAGTGTGAGACGTCTGCATCTCTTCCCTTACTATTTATCACATGTGTCCCCCACGGGCATCCGTAGCTTCCCCATCACTTCCGCAGCCGAGCCCTTGTAGAAACGTACAAAGTATGTGTGAGGCACAGTGACTGCGTGAGCCCTCTTTCCTGCTTCTCTAAATGGATGCTCCTGGCTTCTCCCATTCTGCAGGCTTCAGAAGGACTTGGATGTCACCACCACCCATCTGTTACGGCCACATGCTGGGGGCTTCCTCTGCAGGCAGGTGAGAGGGAAGACTTTGCCTGTCTATTGTAGAATCTGAATTAGGATTATTTTCTATGTAAGTATATTCACTCCTTCAGCAAAGACTGTCAAGTTATCTCTGAAAGATTAAGAAGATACTTTAAGAAGATACTTTAAGATGATACTTTGAGTTGTCGGAATCTACCCCCCAGTTTTTATTATGGTCCTCTCTTATTTACTTCTTGAGTTTTGGGGGTTTTGTTTGTTTGTTTTTTGGGTTTTTTTTGTTTTTTTGTTTTTTTGGTGGTACTGGGAATCAAACTCATGACCTTACACTTTCAAGGCAGGAGCTGTGCCACTGAACTATATCCCTGGCCCCCTCTCATTTACTTCTGAGAGTCCCATATTCTTGATATTCTCAAAACGTTAGAAAATATTCTGATAAAATTCACCAGGCATCCCTAATATATGAAAGAGAAGAGCTACAGAAGTATCTTAGCTCTCTGCTTAAATCACAAGGGAAACCAGTGTTTAAAAGAACTGTCAAGGGAGAAACAGCAACCAGATCAGAGGGGGAGTTCCAGGGTAAGTTAAAAAAAAGTCAATCAACTATTGTTTTAACTCTACAAGCGTTTATATGTGTTTTTCCAGAATTATGTCTTGTGTGGTTTCATTCTTTTTGGTAAAAAATGATCATTTTAATGATTTTAAAAAAGAAAACAAGTCCTTGTTCATTGCTACCTCAAAGGTAAATATTTGTAAAATACGCCATCTAGGCAGTTCTGAACCTGATTCTAACTGGAAGAGCAAGTCCAAATGTCTTCAATGGCTGTGAGAAGGGAACGTCCCAGGAGAGATTACACGGCGTCCTGACCCGCAGTGATGTTGGCTATTTGCAGTGGGGGCAGGACAACTCTGAGGACAACAGTCTCTCACAGGTGAGTGTGCTCTGGTTCTCAACTACCCCACCAGAATGTCAGCACTTCTGACATTTTTAAAGTCTATACTAAGGCAATCCAAATCTGAGCCTGCTACTTTACTTACTGCCTTCCTGCGTACCGCTAACCCATTACACACTCACACACACTCACACACACTGACACTCACATACCCCTCATCCACATTCAGTGGCTAAATGGAAATATCCAAGTGTATTTGCTTCATATTTAATTTTCCTAATGTGTATAGAGTTTAGGTAATACAAATAATGTGTAGGAATATTTTTTAAAACAGTATCTGAAATAGATAAAAGGAAAGTTCCCTTTCATCCCCAGGCCACTTCAGACTCCCTTCTCAGAAATAAATACCATCAGCTGATGGGTGTCCTCCAAATCTTTTATTTATGCAAATTAATGCATATATTCTACATAGCACTGAAAGCTTTTTAAAAGAATACTGAAAAAAGAAGGCCCCACTTAGAAAACTTCTGTCAAACATATTTTCAGCTCAGGAGATTTACAACTTCTGACGACCAGAAAGTAAAATGTGCTGTTGAAAAGCACAACCAGAGAACTGAGATGTGATCCTGGGAAAACAAATAGGAGGGTGATCAGAGCAAGTACCCCAAACCACAAAGCAAAGCCGCTCTGCGGTACGCTCACAAAACTTTTCACCCAGAGCCCAGGGAAAGCAAGGTCCATTCTTGGAAAGCCGCATTGCTCTGGAGTGGCTTTGAAACCAGGTAGGACAGAATTCACTATATGGTGCCTCCTAAGCCCAACCTCCAACCACCACCAGCAAAAAAGGCCACTGCTCAGCACCTGTGCGATCCTTTAGCTCTCCTAGTTTGACCTCAAAATATCCTGTGCGTGAATAGGGCCTCACAGTTCACAAGCTACCTTCATATCCACAACTGCATCTGTCTTTTCTCCTTCTAAAATGTCCAGCAATTATGTGTTATTCATAAAATCAGCATCTCATATAGATGCATCTAATGGCATTGAGATAATTGTGCCCTACTCCAGCAGAATTAATGAATTTTGGGTAGTGTTTTAAATGTTTTCTTATTAGCTAGGCATGATAGCACATGCTTGTAATTCCAGATACTAGGAAGGCTGAGGCAGGAGGATCACAAGTTCAGTCACAACCTGAACAACTTAGCAAGAATGTCTTCTTAAAAATGTTTTTAATTTTTATTAGTACACATTTGCAGTACATAATGATTACATTCATCATGGGGAGTTGTACGTGTACACAGCACATCTTAATATTTTTTACCTTCTCTTCTCCTCCACTCTCCCTCCTTTCCATCTTAGTCCCCTTCCCATCTGCAAAAACATCCTGCCTTGAAAATGAAAAAAAATGAAGAGGAATGGGGACATAGCTCAGTGGTAGAGAGCTTGCCTAGTATGCTGGAGGTCCTGGGTTTAATCCCAGGTACTGCAAAAAATAAATACATAAATGTGTCCTTATTGTTTCTTGAGTTCATAATCTATGTTCATCATACAAAAACAAACAAGAAGTGACAGATAAACTGAGATTATCGAATCACATCACCCAGCAGTCAATTTCTTCAGAAATCTCTTCTGTATATAAATTCCCCATTCTACTCTGTTGAAGCCCGCCTTTCACATTTAACACAAATACCATTACATGTCAATGACTACCTGACCTCTGCTGCATTTAATAGATGCAGAGTCCATCCTATGAATATGAATAGCTGTGCTCTGAGTACTACTGGAGAGAAAATGGATTGGCTCTTGTTAAAAACTCCCTAATCACTATTTTGCAGAAAATTTGGGAAATCATTTTAGAATTCCATAATTATAATAAAGAAGAAAATGTAGCCAGAAATCAGAGATTTATAGATTTCATTTTACATATTTTTCTTTTCTTTCAACCATACGTGGCCTAGTGTTCTGTATTTCTCAGAACCCAGTAATATGGCGACATTCCATCTGGAGCTACATGGAGGAACACCCTAAACCAAGTTTCAAGGGGTGGAGGTGCAAAATGACAATGATTTTAGTGCTTTGTCTATTACCCCAAAGCTCTTTCACAACATTATTAAATACTTCACAAACTTCAGCATGTCTTTGTACCACCTCTGCTATGCTATTTGCTTGCTATTTTTAAAAAAACAATTCATGTTTAAAATTTGGACCTAACCTTTTCTACAGCAGTAATATAAGCCATGTGCTTGCTGTGCTAACTACTTTTCATCATAATACACAGTAAGTGAATAAACATTGCTTTTAAAAATTTATTCCCTGTGCCACCAGTGGGCACACATCCCACATTTGGAAATCTGGTGTGCAGGGAAGGGGATTCTTTCAGCATATGGGAAACAATCGTAGTTTAGAAATCAGCAGATTTGGTTGGAGGCTTTGCCCTACCACTCCAAGAGTGGATCAGCTTCCTTCTCCGAGCCTGTTTCTTTGTCTGCGTGCACCTGCCCTGCAACCATAGGACTGATGCAAAGAATAAACAAAATTATGAAGGCTGGAGCCCTTTAGACAGCCAAACAGTCTATGCACATAAAAGACTTGATGATTGACAATAACAAGGAGTAACACTATAGCGCATTATTCAGCTACATTCACCCGGCACCTAACTGAGAGTCTTGTGTCCAAATATAAAGAGGAGCCGTGCCTGGGCCAGACGTGAACATACACTGATTGCCATGGAAGGCTGTAGGTGACACGTGCTGGGAGGCAGTGATGGCTGCTTGGCTGCACTCTAAGCTCACCTGGAGAACTTTGAATATGATCAGCACCTGGTCATCCCCTGGAACAGTGCCAGCTTCATGAGTGTGGGGCTTGTGCTGTCACACAGCATCCCACATTGTTAAAGATTATTTACTAAGTGGTTGAGAATCATTGTTCTAAAGAAAAGAGGAAATTAAATCTCTACGCTGAGCTGATTAAATCCATGGTGTGCAGAACTGGGGAACTCGCTCTTTCTCAGCTGAATCTTGAGAAAGAGTTTGTCTTCTTTCGATCAGGATCAGAAAGGCTGACAGGTTTTTGTTCCTTTTTAACATTTGCAAGGCTTTGGGGACAAGCTTCAGGGTTTGTCTTAAGTTAAAACTGAACAGGTGTTTGTGAAATAGCTACTAAGTTTCTCTGAGTAAAGGGACTATAACAGAGACCATGTCACCAGAGGGAGTGCATTCCAGAGTCAAGAGTTCACAGGGATCCAGCCTTATTGTTCTGCCCGGATCGCATTTTCTGCTACACAAATTGGCTCAGACCAACAAACTGCTAAATTATGCTCTAAAGAAAGTTACCTGCTGAGTCTAAAACATCCTGTAATAAGAAAGAGGATCTTTTCCAGGACCTTAGGGTCAGTCAAGAGGCCACAACACAAGGTAAGAAACAAGCGCTTCCCACTAGGAAGAGGGCAGTCCACAGGATCCCCATCCAAAGATGTGTACCAGTCCACAGGATCCCCATCCAAAGACTTCCCCACCAAGTGGAAGTAGGGCAGGAGACGGAAACTGCCTGTGGCTTTAAAATCTACATAGAAATCAAATCTACATTGCTTCCAGCTTTTTGGAAAATGACTGATGTGACTTCTCATCCTTCTTTCTCGGACACAGTGTTCTCTCCCCAGGGACATGCCTACAAATCCTGCCCTCAGTGAAAATTGCCTGAAATTGTACACTAATGGCTTGAAATCTCGGGGATATTTATTATGTTGTCTCTGTCATACACTTGGATTTTGGTTTCAGAAAAATAAAATACTAAAGAACAACTATAGGCTGACAGTTAATTTTCTTACCTGAACTCCTGAGACATATAAATATGTAAAACACATCCATATAAAGTTGATTTTACCTGAAGGCACTTTTTTATTCTCCCCACATCAGTTCATTATTTGGGGATAAAAGCCATCCTTAATCCCTATCCCCATCTCTAGGGATAAAAACAATCCTTAATTTTATACACGTACATACGTGTATTGTTTCTCACCATCCCTAATGGATGGTAATTAAAGGAAGTATAAATGTGAAGCCTTTTCACTCATTGCAGTGCTAATATGACTGTGTGCAAAGCACCTACTATGCACCAGGGCTTTCTATCAGTCATTTGCAATGATACTATATTTAATCCTCAACTCTACTCAAAGTTATAAGCAATGGTACTTTAAATCCAGTTTATTGCATGATCATTGATTTTAAAGATAGAAAAGCAAAACATAACAGGCGTAAGAACCTGTCCAAAGCCACCAGCTAGGTAAGTGTTGGAGCCTGGCTTGTGTACCCAGTTCATTCCACACTCAAAACTCATATACTATCCCCTGTGTGTTCTGCTGGTCATATCTTTGCTCACCTTCTGGTAGTTATAGATATATAAATACCAGTTCTTGGAATTATGCTCTATCATCAGCTCTGTAATGATCTAGTATAGATGTACATTTATATTGTACAATCTGTACTGTCTGTTGTAGGTACAGATTGTTGAGCCTTAACATTTAGATGGTAGCAAATCATGACTAGGTTTTAGAATGCGTGGTAGTTGTGCTTAGCAAACGAGTGACTTTACCCACTGAATTCTAGGTTAAAGCAATTGTGAGATTGTGAACTGTGGGTACTTGGGGTACCCGCTCTCTAAAGCATTTGCTTCCCTTTGGCTCCTGCTTTGGCAGATGACATCTATCAGGTGCGTGAAACTTTCGATCTTAGTACAAACTCTGTGGTGCTCAGAGATGTGCTAAGCGGAAGAGCTGCCTGATAGGACCGCCGTTGACCCGGAAGTCAATCTAGTATTTCACAATCCAAAGTCGAGTATAAAACTGAAGCACTACGCAGGTCAGAAGTTTGCTTGAAATTAAACGTGACACGGTTCCAGAACAGTGTTCTCCATATGGCTGGATTAAAGACCTTCCGCAGCCACTGCCTTCCTGTCTGTTCCGAGGCACAGTGGCTCTGTGTAGGACCTGCTGATAGGCAACTCTAGATAGGCTCTTCTGGGTATTTGGTAGCGCCTGCCTAGGGTGGGTGTGATAACGCTCAATACTATACGTATGTACTGATGATAAAAACCTAATGTAAGGAAGGCTTCTGAATTCAAAAGAAAGCCTGTGGTAGGCACCCCCTGACAGCTAGATTGTGCTGTCAAGGTGAACCCTACCCTGCAAGGCTGCTTTTGTCTTCCCTAAGTCAATCTCTTCTTACTCTGCAATAAAACTGCCGAGGCTGCAAAAACACACTTCTTTCACTCTTAGTGTCACAGCCCTGTGGGTGAGATTTAAAAGAAAAAGAAGATGGAGTTTTCATTCGAAGACATAAGCAAGCCCCCCAGAGCCCACCAGACTGACAGTTTCTGCAGGACACAGCCAGCTACCCGCAAGACGAGGAACTGTTTTGAAGCCTCCCTGTTACTTTTCTATTTGAAGGCACAGGTTTGAGTGTGAGGTTCCAATACCTAAGTGAGAACATAAAGCAGTTTGAGTCTAACACCATCTGGAAAGCCTTAGGAGGTTCACATTATCTTCACACCTGCCACTGAGAAGAGAAATCAACTCTGATTTTTAGAAGGGACTGAAGCCATTTAGGTCTTGCCAGAATTACTCCCACGGCAGCACTGGCAGCATGTACCACCATCCCCACGGTACCTTCTTCCCTCTTTACATTTTCCCTTTGGAGAGCCTGATAGGAAATGAAGCTTCACTTACTGCACTCTGCCACAAAGTCACTGAGGTTGCCCCCTGCGAGCGCGGTCTATTTTGTCTTTACAACATTCCTGCAAACTTGGTGAGAGTAGTTACATCAACTCTCTGTTCCAGGTGGCAGAGATCAGAGCCAGACCGTGAACAGTTATGCATGTTTCCAGCGCCTTTCTCCCATTCAAAGTACAAGCCCGGGGCCTTGAGACTGCCAATATTAAGCTCATTATGCAAAGGCACGTTCTAAGTACCATTGTTCTAGACAGTACTGAAAAAAAGAATAACACGGGCTCAGTTCCTGCCCTCTGGTGTATAGAATTGTCCGCTCTTCTTCCGGCCCTTCGAATTTCACGTAGACTTAAAGGATATTCATTATGAAAGGATTGCTTGCTGTACGCAATACTGAAACTACGGGGCTTATTACACAATGAGTGAACCCAAGGAGAGAGGTATTTTATTTATAGCACCACTGTATCACAATTTAATTTCCTTTTTACCATGGCAACATGCACAAATTCAGAATTGGTGGAATCTCACCAATAAAACATATTTAGAATCCCGCTTTTGGAGGGTAGCTGGTAAACTGTGTCTATCCAAAAGCAATACATAATTCTTAAAAGAGATATTCCAGTCACATTGCTAATCTGGTATGCCAAGAAAAGTGAGGAGTGTGACAGTGGACTAAATTCAGTCAGAGGGTGCTTTGCTTTGCTTTTCCAGGACTCACTTTAAACCAGATGTGTTCTCAGCCATAGCCTTGGGCTTATCTCCTAGAGTTAATACCCAAAGGCCTATGACAGTCACACGTGACATTTCCCTCTTCACTACAGTCTCTCAAGGCAGCGACATTCCACCAGCTCAGAGTGAGATCTGCTGGGGGTGAGAGGTGGTTGTGTTTTGAACACTTCGCTCTCCTCCCACTTGCTTTGAGTTCTGGAAAGACGGCTCTGCATTACCCTACAAAGTAACAATAGTCTGGTGTCAGCCCCTGGCAGAATGTGTGACTCTGAGTGTCAGCTGAATTTTGCCTACTTTACAAATATTCTGTGAAACAATATGATATGTGAATATTGTATTTCATTTATCCAGACTTAATTTATAGGAACTTTCATTAATTAAAAATTGGCCAAAATATTCACCTGAAGTTTAAATGAAATGACATCTTGTTATAAACAGCGCTCAATATCCTACTTGGTTTATCCAAGTTTTCCAACCTCAATAATTCTAAGTCCGGCACATTGTGTCTCAGTTACATATAATCTTAGTGCAGGGGCGCCATCAGGAGAAGGCCCAAGAAAGAGCTTGTGCTGATGAATAGTTACAATGCTATTTGGAACCGGGAGGTGGATGTCTGGGACTTAAACACATAGGCTGCTTCAGTGGCACATCCTGTTTCACTTCACATGCAGCCAGCAGGCAGACCTGACCCCTTGATAAATGAGCTGCTCATGCTATCCTCACCCATGAGGGATTAATTCTAGTGTAAGCTGACGCAATCTCACTAGGAACAAGTCTTGCCTGGGTGCTGGGCTTGCACCTTCTCGAAAACTACCTGCTAAGGCTGAGTCATTTCTTTCAAGCATTGTAATATAATTTGTCTATGGAGCTAAAGGCAGAAGCACCTCTGATTCACCCACTCACCCCCATAACTAAAGAGCTGAAACTGAAGTAAAAGAGGGATTTGAATAGAATTATTGAGAAACCAAAATGTCAAGTTACTAGCCTTTAATACTTGGGTTCACAAAACATGTTCATTTTTCAAAACTAGGTTTTCCATGAAACAGAATTGGTTCCTGATCAAACAGTACAACTCTAAGGACTGAGAAGAAAAGAAACAAAATAGCAGTGTTGGATCTTTCATGATAGGAAGAAACTTCAAGTCAAAGGGTCCAATAGCAGTTCTTGGCATCGTGTAGAAATCATGGGATTTTCCATACACTTCGTGTTTATCTCTTTGAGTAGAAAAAAAAATTGTTTTAATGAATTGTGAAATCTTTTTTTAAACATGTTTTCCTGCCTGTTTAAACAAAATGATAGACTCCACTTATAGAAATGCATTGTAATGCCAGGCACAGTTGTGAATACCTGCTACGAGGTAGCCTGAGGCAGGAGGATCGTGACTCTGAGGCCTGCCTGAGCAACATAGGGAGGTCCCATCTCAAAAAAAGTTAAAATGGAAAGAAAGAAATGAAGGATTGTACACATTATCATGAACCTCCAAGGACTACCGATGCAAGACCACTGCCCTTCCACTCCCTGGCCCTCCAGAGTGGTAGCTTTGTGAATCTTATTTATGAGCCATGGGAATTCAAGAATAAAGTGACAATTGCCAGGAAAAAGTAGACAACAAGCTGATTACAATACTAAACTTGATATTGTATAAAATATTAAGACAGTATACTGCAAGTACATCTTCACGGCTGATCGGTTAACTAGTAGATATATGTATATGTATTTATTCTCATTTCCCAAAAACTTTTTCCTAAATTCTAAGTATCTTTTTTTCTATAGTTTAAACAGTTAGTGGTGCCACTTCGAACACCTGCTAAATGAAATATTGCTCTACATTGGGAATAGGAACAAATACACTAGTCAACGGCAAAGACGAATTACTTCCTTGCTACACTTCCAATGTACTTATTATTTACTTCAATTTAAAACCAAACAGAATTCTCTATCCTCTCCATGAGGCCACCTATCTTTTTTTAAAAAATGCAATCCATTAGGAGAAAAGGTACACAGCAACACCATTATACGACTCATAAATGCAAATGCATTTATAAAGAAGCCTTGGTGTCAAATCTTACCCTCAATCCAATCACTGCACAGATAAGCCTCAGAGCTGCTTTTTGATCATGATGATACATCAACCTCTGTCTCAAGGTGGCAAAACCTATATACTTCTCTGCACTCTCTTCTCCCTTTGCAGGTGGGCAGCATGCTGAAGACTCCTAAATTTCCTGTCTGGCTGTGCAACATCAATGGAAATTACAGCATCCTTTTCTGCACAAACAGACAGCTCTTATCAGACTGGAAAATGGAGCGTCTCTTTGATCTGTATTTTTACAGCGGCCAGCCCTCACAGAGAAAGCCCGTGCGTCTTACAATAGGTGAGCACCTCTGCCTCCAAGAATGTGCACCTTCCTGTGCTCAGAGACTCACAGCTGTTGTTACCAGCTGCGTGGATGGTCATGCCAGCTCTGCAGGAAGGTGCCTGGGCTTGGTTTCTGAAGTGAAGCCCATGCCTAAATCCCATGGCCCTAAATCCAACTATTGCAATGGGAGACCCCTAAACCTGCTTTAAAAAGGAAGAGGGTGGTAGTTAGAAATAACAGACAAATAACTTTTAGGTAAGAGGAAACAAAGGGTAAAGAGTTAAATTTCCAAAAACCTTCCCAAGGCCTTTTGTGTTTGAGCAGGAAGTAAGCAATGCCTGGGGAAAGGTATGCAAAACCACAGGGAGACAGAGCTCCAAAGGGCCAGTTCTAGCCCACAAACAAATACCAGAAGATCACCTTGTGAAAAGTAGCCATTTCTGCTCTGTTAGTTTAAAAAGCATTTTTAACTGTCCACTGGGACAGTTTAATAATGCACTGGGAAAACCACGAGGAATGCGGCGCACTGCAAACAGCTCTATAGGAGCTCCCAGGCCAACGCAGAAGCAGACAGCCAGCAGTTGGTTTCGCAGCAGTTAAAAATCTCAGTTTTTTAAACTCGTGAGGGGAAATAAAAACCAATTTTAAAATGTCTTCAAATATTGGTCCCTTTGGCAAGGTATTACAAATGCACAGAACGGCGGTTTGTACCAGGCAGCCTGGGTTCCGTAAAGGAGCCTGGTACTGTCTGACTCTGCATTGAGCATCACAAGCCTGGTGTTACATACCCTGTGCTATCATCCCTGCACTTGGAAAAGTCTTAGTGACTATTTCATCTGTGCAGTTCCCAAACTGTTCTTCAGTTATAAGGAGTATGTATTAGCCCATTTAATTCCGTACATTACCAAAGTACCAAATTTAGTACACTCGACTTTTCTCCTTGAGGAAAGCATCCTTTTCCATTTGCTCACAAGCCTCCCATGTGTTCTGTTCCAGGCACTGTGTGGAAAGCCTTATGTACATTAACACAAAAAATTCCCACTAATCACATGACGTAAGTGCTATATCTATGTTCACACAGTGGAAACTGAGGTTCCCAATAAATAGCTACCAATTGAATAAACAAGGCGTAACAGTCGGTGTTCAGAGTAGGTGTTAATTACTGGCTCAAATGCCACCTGGCTCACATGAGGCAAACCTGGGCCTTGAGCCCCGCGCTCTATTATCCCACTAGAACGCCACACACTGCACTCAAAAACGCAGGTGCATGCTCAGAAGCCTTGAGAAGTGGGAGCTTCCCCGTCCTTGTTTTTCCTGACAACATCTTGTGACGACACCTGGTCCTCCATGGCATGTAAGCTGCGTTAGATGATTTATCAATTTTCACATCTCAGTGCAAGCAAGCCAGGTTGTCACTGGCTCCTTTACACGGGGCACTTCCACATCGCATCTGCGGGGACCTCCCTCCACTTAATTAACCAGTTCTGGATTACAGGGTGCAGAGCTCAACTCCTGCCACCCCGCTTCCTCCTTCTGTAGTGGCCTCCTCAGGAATGACGCAGCAGGCTTGGGTGCAAACGTCTCATGTTCCTTCCGCAGATACGCACGCCCATCACTGGGAAAGGGACCAACATGAAGATAAGCAGGGACCAGGAAGACGCTGCTCCCCAGTGGAGATGGCCATCAGAAGCAGGTGGAGGGGAGCTACTGTCAACTGGAATGGGACTTTCCCCTTTTTCTAAGAGGAAACTCGGGCTCACAATAAGGTCTCGAGTGTTAGACCTGTTGGGCTGCAAGAGTCTTGTGCAGGAGGAGGAGATTTAATCTCTATATTCCTCTTTCACGAGTCCCTCCACCCCCCAAAAAGAAAAAACACTGCTAGCAGCTTTTATAGTTTTCCTCCCTGGCAAACATTGTACAGTTGCCATTAACGTTGTGGGAGAAGCCCAGGACTTTGCCCAGGGTCCTCTTGATTTCTCCTCTGTAGTCACCTAAACTGCTTCCTTCCTTTTATTCAAAAGAAAAAAATGAAGTCTCTCCTGTGCATATTATTTCCAAATTAGTCTTTTCTTGGTTTGATTCTCCATGAAGATTACGGAAACTGGCAGCTAGCTTCATGTGGGAGTAAAGTTATCCATAAAGCATCATCAGATCTTAGTTACAGCGAGAACTCAAGCCTTCTCAGACTTCCTGGGATGGGCAGCATTCTTTTCCAAGGACACATTTCACACGCCCACATGAGCAGGTTCTTGCCATTGACATAGTAAACGGGCTTCCTCTGGCTTGAGGCAGGCACTATTCCTGGGGAGCCAGCAGCTAGAGCAGTTGGCGAGGGGGCTTCGACAGTCAAGGCAAGCAGGCAGAAGGAAGCACTGTTCCCCTCAGTGCTGTATTTCTTTTTTTCTTCTTCATAAACTAGATATAAATAATATCAACAAATATAAACTGAGACAGAAGTTTGAATCTGGCATAAAAGATTCCAGATAAAAATAAAATTTCTTATGTCATTGTTCAAAGGGGAAAATAACTCTTTCAAGAATGCGATCTTCCCAGTTCTGTTAAATGCCTACATATTTTCTGAAGAGATACAAAGACCACACATATATTCTTTCTAAAAGACATACTGGGGAACCGTCTAGACATTTTTGTACCAGCACCGTCCCCCACCCCTCCACTGGTCTGCCAACTCATAGACTTAGGGCTTTAAAATTTGGAAATCAAAGGTCAGTTTCCAAAGAACAACTTTTCTGTATTTATTTTCTATATTATCCAGTGCATTTTCATTTGGCTGAAGAATAGTGTTTTAACTTAAAGAATGTATAGAAAGTAAAGCTTCAAGGTAAATAATAAATTATGCCAGAAGAGAAAGCCAATTTGTCTTGGATTGTTAATTATAGTACCTATTATTGGTGTTTTCAGTGGAGATTTTATATCAGACAAATGAGTGAAATCCCTATAGACTCTGGTCTTATTTGGTCTTAGTCTTTGACATATTGATTTTCCTGAGGTGCAGACCCTTTTTTGTTTTATGTACACTGTTATTTCTTCCTAAATGCCTCTTTTAGCGTTGACTCCTGGAAAGCCTGGAGCCAAATTAGAAATCATATTAGTGTTTGTTGTGGTTTATAACTAGGTGGGACTTTTTGCAGGTGGCTGGATCTAGGGTGTGATGCTGGGATTAAAGATATGTGATAACTAAATTGTTTTAGCATAGATGTGAGTGTGGATAATGGGAGCCTCACCCCAGGGTGAGTGTCACCACCCTAAAGGATTAGCATAGATGGGATAAAAGGGAAAGGAAAACTTGCTGCTTGCTGCCTTCTGCCTGCCATACCTTGAACTGTTTCTCTTCCGCTATGCCCCTCTGCCATGCCACCCTGATTTGGGGCTAGTTGACTATGGATTGAAACCACTACAAACTGTGAGCTGAAACAAACCTTTCCACCCTTAACTTTGGGTGTCAGGCATGTTGTCTCAGCAATAAGAAAAGTAACTAAGACAGGGTATGAGTGAGAAACCACTCTCTTGTAAGAGATCTCACTAAAAGTCTTATATAATGAGGACAGTCTTTTATGCGAAGAATTGTCAAGGGATCCCCTAGATGAACCATGGTTCGTCACTCTGGGACTAAGCACAGGGCCCTTGATCAGGGAATGAAATCAGGACTCAGCAGAAGGAAGAAGAGCCCAGTGACCACTGGGCAAACAGCCAGCTGTGTTCCTGGGCAGTATATTTGTTCTTACAACAGACACTTCTAAGTTGACCTCATTCCTATGTTTTCTGTTTCTACTCTTATTTCTTCTTTGAATTTTCGATTTGTTTATATTTTTATGTTAATTTCCATATTTTGTATGTTTTTGTAATCTACGTTAAAGTATTCTTGGAATGCGTCTATTGGTAAGTAAAACAGTGCAGGAAATTTTAAGCCTGTGTTTTATATGTAAAGGCATAATCACTGTGCTACACAGAAAGGTCAATCTCTTTGTATGTCGATGCTCAGTGAAAATGAGTTTTTATGTTGTCTTATAAGCAGAATATCCCACCGTATTTGAATTTTTTAGAGGTAGAAATGTGTTATTCAAAAGCTGCTAGGACTTTCTTAAGAGTATGAATTCACTTTTGAACTTTCTGTGTTTTGAGATAAATTACTTTAATTGTCTTTTTAGTTTTTCAAACTTAAAGTAGGGGAAAGCTATTTGCTTAAAGATGTAGATACTAATTTTTCTGAAAAGCGACCTAACCTGTCTGTGTCTTTAGCAGGAATGGGCCCTTAAGGACATGGTAAATATTTTTCTTTTTAAAATTTCAACCTGGACTGGTATGTCTCTCAAAATTGTATTCTTACAGAAGAAGCACGATCACTTTTTAAACTATATTCTCACCAGTGTCATAGACCAGGTAGGACTGGGCCAGGCGGAGGCTGCAGAAATAATTTCGAGAGCCACCAGCTGGGGCCGGGTGTTGCAGTGTCCAGATCATGCATAACTTCACTCACCCCTGAGCCTTAACTTACACTCCTGAGAGTAACAAGCTATGGACACGTAGTGTTAAACTGCTGCAGTCGCCCTGTCAGGGTCTTATGAAAGTGACTGTTGCTCATTCACTCAGCGTTTATTAGCGTCCTCTGTGTACACGGCACTCTGCCGAGTGCTGGGAGGAAGTAGTGGGCAAACCCACACACAGCCTTCCCCTCTCTCATGAGTGAAGACTTCTGAACAGATGAATTAATTTTAAAAATACTATAATGAATACAAACGTGAAAAAGTGAGATAAGTGTCCAAGGAGAAAAGATCTTCAATTGTCAATCTTGTCACAGGGACTGGACGGTCAGGAGAAGGCTGGAGAAGCAGAGAAGCCAGTGGCCAGGGTGCCGAGAGCAGCGGCAGAGCGGCTGAGGCGCCGCTAGCGGGGCGGCGAGGCCTCCCCAAGCCCTCTGGACTGCGGGCCCGGGAAGGTTGGGAAGATTTTCAGAGGCCTAGTAGCATATGAGTGTTGAGAGGGAAAAAAACCCAATGTGGAAAACAAAGTGGGTGCAGAGACCAGTGGGGTGACCGTCACAGTGCGTCAGAGCCAAGCAGTGGCAGCTGCTGTAAACTGCAGCGGGCTACTCACAGACACCACCCAGTGAGAGAGACACAGGAGGCTGAGACAGAGACGAGGGGCAGCGGGGGCAAGAAGGATCGCCGGGCTCCGGTTTGGTAAGTGACAAAAGTTGCGCTATGCTGACTAAGGGAACCCTGGAAGGAACACCGTGTTTAGAAGGGAGGAAATCACAAGCTCAAATCTTGAATATGAACTATTTCAATGGAGAGATAGAGGAGAAGATGAAAATAAGGGTTTGGAAATCAGAGGGGAGGTTTGGAGCAGATAAATGGACATACAATACTTGGGAGTCACAGGATGGCCTGGGATAAAG